CACAAACTGGTGCCCGTATGAGATCCTGGTGCATACAAGGCAAGGACTTTTAGCCGCTAGGCTACTGCACCAGGGCCAGGTTGTTGTTTTTTTAAATAAGATTTTATTTGGAAAGCAGAGCCTCTTTGTAAAGAGTCAGGGTTAATTTCTATCTTCTGGTTCACTCACTGGATGGCCACAACAGCCAGGTTGGGTTAGTTCAAAGCAGGGATCCAGGAGCTAGCTTCTTCCAGGACTCCGACGTGGGGTAAGGGCCCAGGGACCTAAGCCATCCTCCACTGCTTTCCCGAGCCCATTAGCAGGGAGCTGGATCAGCACCCACAAGAGATGCCAGAGTTGCGGGCAGCTTTATCCATTGCCAGACAGAACCAGCACTTGGAAGTCTTCCAGCTTCCAGACATGAGACATGGACACCATCACTCTTGGTCAAATGCCTGCCCCAGTACCTTCTTCTCAATGTTACCCTTGACCCCCTGTGCAGCCCTGCTCCACACCCACACCCTGTGTCAGGGCATGCAGCCTCACATATCCACTTGTAGCCAGGAGAAGCCTGGCCAATAAAGTTCAGAGTTTCCTGGGGCTGGACCAGGGAGGACAGCTTGAGGCTGAACCTCCTGGACCAGAAACACACAGTTGGGGTGGGGAACAGAGCTGTGTGCCATGCACTGGAGAGGTCAGTGCCTTCCCAGGCCACAGCACCACAGGGAGGGGAGCTGGGCTGGCATTTCCTGGGAGCTGACAGGCCTTGGGGCATGCTGCTCACACTCACGGGGAACTGGCTCTCCCCAACTGGCACACCCATTTCCTTTAAGGACCACCGCAGGAACCACATCAAGGGTCAGCAGCCCTGCGTGGTGCCCAGCACCCGCTTGTGGGGCACGCTGAGGCAGAGGTGGGAGGGGAATGTGGTGAGCACTCCCATTTGCAGGCGGAGAGGCTGAGGCAATGAGACCTGTGGTGCAGATGCAGCCAGAAGCCAGGCCTGTGGGGGTGGTTACTTATCTCTCACCCACCCACTGCCCGTCTCTGACCCACCAATACTTGGCCCCCACACTGCAAACCTGACTGTAGGTGTTGGTGCCCGCCTGTCACTGGTGTATGTAGTTTGTACCTTCCAAAAATCCCCGTTCCAGCCAGATGCTACAGCAGCCCCAATGAACCAGATGTAGCCAACAGCCACAGCATTGGCTGCCCACTCCCCAGCCTTACTGCTCTGTAGCCAGGTCACCCGTGCCCATTGTGGAAAAGCATACACCAGAAACTGTGCAGTTTGTATTCACTTTGCCCTCTTGAGCTTCTCCTACAGCAAATGGTACTGTAGGTGTCCCTATTGTTAGCAGACATGGTATGAGCAGAGGTGACACCAACACTGGAGTTGGTCAAACCATGAACTCCACTGATTACTCCCGCCCCTGGCTAAAGAGTGTTGAGGGTCCCAGGAGATGGCTTGGGAGGAAAGACCTGTGCTGGTATCATGGCCCTCAGGGCAGAGCCCCCAGCAGCAAGGTGCCCCTGCTCCAGCCTCCTGTGCTGTCAGGGTAGAGGATGTGATTCCATAAATAAGGCCTTTGAGGCGATGCCTTCCCCCACACCCCCGCCATCTGACACTTGAAAGGCCACGAGAACTGGGCAGCCTCTGGATGAGGAAACCACATCCTCCTTCCTGGTGGGCACTGGGATGGGTGACCGGCCCTGCCTTGGGACCTTTGTGCAAGATCCATGGGAAGGCAACGGGCAGAGCCCAGCCAGTGAGTCAGCTTTCCCATGTGTCATGCTGCAAGGGCAGTGATGGGGCCTGACTTTCTGTGAAGGTGATGCGGTGGGACATAGGGTATACCCCCCCACATCCCACTCTCTGAGACACTTCTGGACCAGGACGCTGGAAAGATGGGGACCACTGCTTTGGCTCCTGGCCCTGTTCCTCTCTCCAAGGCCTGTCCATCAGCCCTCGTCAACGAGCTCTCACAACAAAGGATCAGAAAGTTCAGCCCATAGCTGGTCACCACACTGGTTTGGGTGCTCACCTTCTTCTTTTTTTAAAAGATTTATTTATTTTTATTGGAAAGGCAGACGTAAAGAGAAGGAGATACAGAAAGATCTTCTATCCACTGATTCACTCCCCAAATGGTTGTAATGACTGGAGTTGGGCTGGTCCAAAACCAGGAGCCAGGAGCTTCTTTTGGGTCTCTCACGTGGGTGCAGGAGCCCAAGGACTTGGGCCATCCTCTGATGCCTTCCCAGGCCATAAACAGGGAGCTGGGTTGGAAGTGCAGCAGCAGGGACTCAAACAGGCACCCATATGGGATACTGGTGCCGCAGGCAAAAGGTTAATCTATTATGCCACAGTACTGGCCCAACCTTCTGTTTTCTTACAAAAGAAAAAAAAGATTCCTTTTTTCTTATTTATTTGAAAGTCAGAGTTATAGAAACAGAAAGAGAGACTGTCACCCACTGGATCCTTCCCCAGGTGGCTGCCAACAGGCAGATTAAAGCCAGAAACTGTTCCCAGGGACCCAGGCACTTGTGCTGCTCTCCCAGGTCACTAGCAGGGAGTTGTAGGCGTTGCAGGAGGCAAGCTTACTGGCTAAACTATAACACCAGCCCCTGCCCATCTCCTTTGAATCTGGAGTGAGGGGACCAACTAGGTTTCTAGTGTGCCTGTGTGGGTTCTCAAAGTGTCTGAGGGACTAACTCTTACTCACTGGCTCACAGGCAGAGTACAGTCCAGGGCTGGGACTTGGAAGGACCCCTACCCAGTAGCAGACTGTCTTCAAGTAGTTCAGATAAGACTGAAGGGTCCTGGGACCCAGACGTCTCCCCCACTGCCATCAGAACTGTCAGCTGCAAGTGATTCTTCAGACCTGGGTTTGTAATATCCGAGCGGCTCATACAAACCAGCCGTAGGGGCAGGTGCTGGCAGGACAACAGGCCTGGCTATCCCAGACTCAGACTCCTCTGCCCTCAAGGACTGCCCTGGCAAACTCTGGGCCCAGACCTTACCTTGCTTCTTGCTTTGCTGCCTCCTATGTGGGAAGTCAGGGCTGAACAGGGTGCCGTATGGGACACCTGAAGGCTTGGATCCTTCCAGAACTTGCCAGGCTTCAAAGCCCTGGGCCAGAGCAGTGGTCTCTCCACTGTGTGGAGGCTCCTCCTGAGTGGACCCTGGAATGTGCCAGAAAACAGGTGGGCCAGGACCTGCCTAGGGCCATGCAGCTCTCCAGGACTGCAGGACTTGGCAGAGTGCCCTGGGCATCACCCAAATCTCACCCACTGATTCCCCCAAAGCTGCTCAGGGCACATTTTCTTCACAAAACTTGGTTCCTGTGGCCACTGTTGAGGGTAGCTAGTGCAGCCGCTAGGCAGCCTGCATCCCATACTGCTATGCTGGTTAGACTCCTGGCTGCGCCACTTCCTAGCTTGTTTCCTGCTGATGCACACCCCAAACAGGCCCTTGATGCCCAATGAGGAGACCCGGATGGAACTTCTGGCTCGTAATATTGGCCTGCTCCAGCTTGGCTGTGTGACCACGAGGTGAGGAAACAGTCAGTCTTGTCACTCTGCCTTTTAAATAAATCCATCAAAACAAAAACACTAAACTTGGCCACTACCCTGTACCAGATCATTACACTGGGGCCCGGCGTGATGGCTAGGTGGCCTTGAATACCCAGGATCCAACAGGTTGCTGATTTGTATACCAGCTGTTCCACTTCCCATCCAACTCCCTTTTGCAGCCTGGGAGAGTAGTGGAGGAGGTCCAAAGCCTTAGTACCCTACACCACATGGGAGACCTGGAAGAAGCTCCTGGCTTCAAACTGGCTCTGCCCAGTTGTTGTGGCCACTTGGGGAGTGAACCAGCAGAGAAAAGATCTGTCTCTCTTACTTTCTCTATAAATCTGGCTTTCCAATAAAAATAAATAAATCTTACAAATAAAATCCGATCAAACAGGCTGTGTTCAGCTTTAGGACCCTGACCTATTGGCCTGCAAGTGCCCAGTAAGCATACAGAGGTTCTAAGGCTAGCTAGGACCTGACCTTGGCCAAGAACACACAGGGAGTCTGGCTGTGGCGCAGGATCTGCACTTGGAACACAGCAGGTCTCACAACCGCCTTCCCCATCCCCACCTCACGCACCGCCTTCCCCATCCCCACCTCACACACCGCCTTCCCCATCCCCACCTCACACACCGCCTTCCCCATCCCCACCTCACACACCGTCTTCCCCATCCCCACCTCACACACCACCTTCCCCATCCCCACCTCACGCACCGCCTTCCCCATCCCCACCTCACACACCGCCTTCCCCATCCCCACCTCACACACCGTCTTCCCCATCCCCACCTCACACACCGTCTTCCCCATCCCCACCTCACACACGGCCTTCCCCATCCCCACCTCACACACCATCTTCCCCATCCCCACCTCACACACGGCCTTCCCCATCCCCACCTCACACACCGTCTTCCCCATCCCCACCTCACACACCGCCTTCCCCATCCCCACCTCACACACCGCCTTCCCCATCCCCACCTCACACACGGCCTTCCCCATCCCCACCTCACACACCGTCTTCCCCATCCCCACCTCACACACCGCCTTCCCCATCCCCACCTCACACACCGCCTTCCCCATCCCCACCTCACGCACCGTCTTCCCCATCCCCACCTCACACACCGCCTTCCCCATCCCCACCTCACACACGGCCTTCCCCATCCCCACCTCACGCACGGCCTTCCCCATCCCCACCTCACGCACGGCCTTCCCCATCCCCACCTCACACACCGTCTTCCCCATCCCCACCTCACGCACAGCCTTCCGCATCCCCACCCCACACAACCTTTCCAATCTCCACCTCACGCATGGCCTTCCCCAGCCCCAGCTATGCCTCACACACAGCCTTCCCCTCTGCCATACCCCACCTGCTCACACAAAGAGCGTAGTGGGAGGTGGCTGAGTGGACGCAGATCCTGGATCTCATGGGAACAGAACACGCAGGCCGGTGATACATCCAGCTTTTCTACTTCAAGGGACTGGCCAATTCCGACCAGAACACAAATCAGGAACATAATTGTACAATGTGGGATGCTGCTCGTGCAGACAGCTCAGTCCCACTCCCCCTCGCCCTCGGGGTCGTCTTCTTGCGGTGCCTCCTGGTCGTTGAAGTGGAAGTTGGCCATCATGTCCCGCACAGCTAGCATCAACCTGTTCAAGCCCTGGTTGTGGTTCAGACCCCCGGCGACTCCTTCCTCTGGCCTCTCCCCCTGTGACAATGAGACACACCTGGGCAGAGGGCTGTCTCTCTGGGGAGCTGTGCCATGAAACCCAAGATGGCCCACAGCCCCTCCCCAGGGAACTAATAAGAGGAAAATTTCTCAGAAACCAACTCACACACATGAGCCTTGCCAGACCCAGGGTGCCAGCTGCAGGTGCACAGGAGCACAGCAGACGGCGGGGCAGATTGGACACAGGGTCTGCCCCTGCCCCGTGTGTGGCTCCAGGCACTCACTCCCAAATACATTTTACTGCTAACCCAGCAACGAGAGGCCAAGACCACCCACGTACCTCCATGGTGTAATTTGGCAGCAGAGACCTAAAGAAGAGGGCGATTGTGTTTCCATGGCTGACGGGACTTAGTCTGAAAGAAAAGGGCAAGGCAGGTCAGAAAACTAAACTCAGCAAACACCTGTGGTTTCCAGCCCTGCCCCAGATGGCCTGATGAGCTGTGCCAACTGGCCCCATCTGGCAGGGATAAGAAGCAGCCTCAGGCAGCAGGGAGGCCCTGGGTGGGCAGTGGGTCCCATCAGCTGGGGATGGGCAAACAGGAGCTATGGGCAGTCCAGGCAACCAGGAAGATAAGTTCACACCCTAAGAGGAGGCTACAACAGTGCAGATGGCCAACTGCCTCTGCACAGGTACCTTGCTGCTGCTTTTTGTTGTTGTTGTTGTTAATATTTATTTATTTTTCTTGCAAAGTCATATATACAGAGAGTAGAGACAAAGAGGAAGATCTTCTGTCTGATGGTTCACTCCCAAAGTGACCTCAATGGCTGTAGCTGAGCCAATCCAAGGCCAGGAGCAAGGAGCTTCTTCCAGGTCTCCCACACAGGTGCAGGGTCCCAAGGCTTTGGGCTGTCCTCTATTGCTCTCCCAGGCCACAAGCAGGGAGCTGGATGGGAAGTGGGGCCGCTAGGATTAGAACTGGTGCCCATATGGGATCCCAGTGCGTGCAAGATGAGCACTTTAGCCACTAGGCCACCGCGCTGGGCCAGGTGCCTTGCTTCTAAGAAAAATTGCAAGGGAGGATTGGGAAGTGGGTATAAGGCTAATCCCTACCTGAAGTGCTGGCATCCCATAGGTGGGTGCCTAAGAAAGCAGCAAAAGAGGGTCCAAGTGCTTGGGCCCCTGCACCCACATGGCAGACCTGGAAAAAGTTCCTAACTTCAGCCTAGACCAGACCTGGCCACTGTGGCCAGCGGAGAAGTGAACTCGTGGATTGAAGGTCTCTTTTTCTCTCCTTTTCTCCATGTAGCACTTTTAAATAAACAAATAAACAAACAAATAAATCTTTAACACAAAAGCAGAAACAAGGGAAGCTGCAAGTTTACTGTCCTTTGGCACTGGAAGATTCAGCAGCCTATAGCCACCGGCACGTGCAGCCCTCTATTGGCGATAGGTGGGACTGCAGCCTCCCTCTGCTAGACCCTGGAAGGGCCCACAGTCAACCCCTCACTGGGGCAAAGTGTGGGTAGCAGGAGGATTTTCCCCAGCGATTCCTTAAACCAGGAACTATTTTCCAGTACGCATGCAAACAGGCCCACAGCCTCCACAGCACCCTCCTGCCACCAAGTCAAGACCCTCCACTCTCCCGCATGCCCATCCTCCGTCCCCTCACCCTCACCCTGCCCATCCCCTCACCTCCCCTCCTCATCCCCTCCCCTCCACCTCTCCCTCCCCTCCCCTCACCCTCCCCTCCCCTCCCCTCCCCTCACCCTCCCCTCTCCCTCCCCTCCCCTCCCCTCCCCTCCCCTCCCCTCTCCCTCCCCTCCCTCCCCTCCCCTCCCCTCTCCCTCCCCTCTCCCTCCCCTCTCCTCTCCTCTCCTCTCCTCTCCTCTCACAGGCCCACAGCCTCCACCTCCTCTCTCCTCTCCTCTCCTCTCCTCTCCTCTCCTCTCCTCTCCTCTCCTCTCACAGGCCCATAGCCTCCACCTCCTCTCCTCTCCTCTCCTCTCCTCTCCTCTCCTCTCCTCTCCGCTCCGCTCCTCTCCTCTCCTCTCCTCTCCTCTCCTCTCCTCTCCTCTCCTCTCCGCTCCTCTCCTCTCCTCTCCGCTCCGCTCCTCTCCTCTCCTCTCCTCTCCTCTCACAGGCCCACAGCCTCCACCTCTTCTTCTTACTGGACTTCAGCCTCCTCCTTTTTCCTCATGGGTCCACAACTCCTCACAGATCCACAGCTCTCCTACACACAGGTTTTCACTGCAGCATACATCTTGCATTTATAGTCTTAATGGTTAATGTCTATCTTCCTGTCCTCGCCATGCACCCCATAAGGGTATAGCCTTTCCAACACCTCCTGCAGAATGGGACAGGAATGTGCAGAAACAGGTTTGGTCCCACCTCACGTCATCCCCTCTTCAGGAGAGATTCCCTCTACTGGGGTCTGAGAAGCCAGGGGTCTGGGAGCCCCCAAGTGAAAGGGTAGGGTGGGAGGTGGGTACCTCTCAGGCCTGGCGTAGGAAGAGATGTTGTCTAATGGAGGCAGAGGGTCAAATCCCATCACAGACTGCGTGGTCACGTCCTTCAGGGATGGAACAAAACGGAGACACTGTAATGGGCTGGGTGTTCAGAGAGCCTCCCACACCTAGGGTAGTGGAGGGCCAGGGTAGCTGTGAGATCACTTGTCCCACAGAGCATCGCTATGGGGGTTATCAGCTGCAAGTGACAGAACCTCCATGGCCCCACCTGCAGCCTTAGGGGGACCCCTCCTACCTTTCTTTCAGGGCAAGAGACCCCAGTAGAGGCCAGCCTGGCAATGCCCATTACAGAATCACTGACAGCCCAGTCTGCCTGTGTCCCTCCCATCCCGGCCCTGTAGGACAGTGTCCAGGGTTCCTCCAGCCCCAGAACAGCACCTAGGCACAGCCATGGCACAGAGCCTGCTGCAGCAGCCACGAGACTGTGCAGAACAGCCAGCCAGGGTTTCCGGAAAGCACACTGTCCTTCACCCGAACCTTGGCTATGGGGAGGAGCCATCTGCATCCCAGTAACCCTGTCGGGCATGACGGCACATGTGTGTGACCAGCTCGCACACTCCCTTACCGGAGGGAGAGCAGCCACGGCCCCCTTGATCTCAGACAGGATCACATGACGATGGATGTTCCTAGGGGCACGCTGGTACAGCAGTTTCCGCCTGAGGCAAAGGGAAGAGAGAGGTCAGGTGGCAGCCCTTCCTGGGATTCCAGCACCACAGGAGTGGAAGCCCCATGGCTGGACCTGGTTCTGGGGTAAGAGAATAGGTCAGATGCCAGCCTGGGGACCACATTATGCCAATGCCACGGAGGGGCTCACCTGTTCTCACAAGTCTCCACGGAGGGATCCCCAGCATCCACGGCCTGCAGAACCTCACGGACATTCTCCTCCAGCCAGCTCATGGTGGCGGGTTCTTTCCACAGGAAATGTGACCGCCCGAGGTATAGGCTCACCAGCTGGCTCAGGGCAGGGGGCTGGCTGTGGAGGGTAGGACTGATAAGCAGACCTTGACTGGACAGGGCCCTGCCCAGTGGGCACAGGGGAGGTCAGGAGATGCCTGCTGTCAGACTGAGCATACCATGAGCAGGACGTGTGCCTTTGTCAGAGAGCGCAAACACAAAATGGCCAGGTGACCACATAGAAGGGAGGCCATGCTGGCCCGTGTCCCCATGCCTGGGACCCTGTGGACACCCAGGGCCCCCATGTTCCCATTCTGAGCTTGGGCAGCCTGCCTCCATCACCTGATCTCTGCGTTGGGTCCAAAGAAGTGGTGACTTGAGACGGTGGCATCTGGTCGCACGCTGCAGTGCTCCAGCAGGGGCATGAGAACTGTGGGGAGAGCAGGGGATCCATGTGCACAGGGACTCCCAACCCCAGGCAGCTGACAAGGACCCAGCAGATCCTGTCACAGGCCTGTCTAGGGGGCAGGGGTGTGAGCTGGATCCTGGTCACAGACGTGGTCTGGGTGTCTGGGGACAGGGATGTGAGCTGGATCCTGGTCACAGATATAGATGTCTTCTAAGTTGCTGCTACTGGGGCTTCCCTGACCCAAGGCTGGAGTCTTCTCACACCAGGCCTCACACGGGGTCTCTTCAACTCTGGGCAGACCTGCCTAGGACCCCTCAGCCAGCACCTGGGCTGAACATCCTAATCATGCAGATCAGCCTACACAGCAGAGCATACACACAGGTGAGGTATGGCCCCTGCCACTGCACCCTCACGAGCAGAGCCTGTCCAGGTCCTGGGCTAAGCTGCCTGTGGCATCTCTGTTCCCTGGTGATTGAATCTAACCCCAGATGAAGGACAGGAGCTTTTCTGAGCAATGAGCCAAACTGGACAAGCTCGGCTCACATTAGAAACAGCCTCAACCCCTTGCTGGATCCCCCAGAATCCATGAGGCAACATGGACTCCAGATAGGTGGTGACTCAGGGTGGACACACAGGCCCTGCAAACAGCATCAACTCACACGTGGCCAGTACTGGCCAGGACAGCCTCATCTTAAAGAGTCATTTCATTCCTGCTTTTGGGGGAGGCTCAATCTAGCCCACGATTGCCTCACTGTTTACCTGTGTGCACACACGTATGTGTGTCACGTGTGGGGTCAGTTCAGGGTGCAGAGTCTGCAGACAACCAAGTACCACAGCTCCTGATCTGGCATGCACACACTTGCATGTGTGTGTGGTACTGTGGATAGCCCCCCGAGTACCATGGTCCCTGCCCTAGCATGTGTGTGCACACATGTCTATATGAATGTGTGTGTGCCATGAGTATTACAACCTCTACTCTGTGTCCCAGCACAGCACCAGTATCCATCCACTGCCTCTGGGCCAGGCCGGGGCACTCATGCCCCAACACCACCTAACATACTGTACGCACATCTCTCACCCAAGGTGGGCATCGTCCCTGTTCTCAGTGCACAGCAGGCTCCCAGAGATGGAGGAAGGAGCCCCCACCCAGGCAGACGCACACCCACCTCCAGGGAACATGATGAGGGCCTGCTGGATCAAGAGGGAAGCCTTCTCCCTGGCGGAGCTGAGCTCGTGCTCCAGGAGCTCCGTCTGCTGACTCAGCAGGAAATACGCCAACGGGACAGAGAAGGCAAAATTTGGCAGCTGGGACAGGTTTCGATGAGCCTACAAGCGATGCACAAGCACATTTGGGTCCTAGAGGTCATAAAGACAACAATGCAAAGGTGACAGGGGCGTGATGTCACCAGGTTCACTAAGCTGCCCATGCACAAAGGCTACCTACACTTGTGTCCTGCAGTGTAGGGTAGGTGGCAGTGAAGATGGCCTCAGACCCCCTTGGAAGCAGCAGGGCCATCCCAGTAAGGAAGCAATTTAGCAAGAGGCCCTGCTCCCACCAGCACTCCCACGTGTGTCTTCTTCCTTCCTCCATGCGTGCACCCAGTCAATGTGGCTCAGGTTTTCCTGATACTCGTCAGAGAGCAGTACACATTTCCCACTGTGGCCACATCGGGGTTGCTTTCTCAAAACATCCAGCTCCTCACAGGTGACACTGCTGTCAGTCATGCCTGATGTCATCTAACTCAGAAGGCTGAACTTGTCTCCCACAGCACGCAAAAACCAAGCACAGACACAGGGAGGCCACGCACATCTGCACCTTCCATGCTTGCATTCTCTGGCTCCACTGGGGTCCTCACATGGCCATCCCATGTAACAAGGCACCACTCAGGAAGACAGACCCTCACCTTCCCTCCCACATCCCTTGGCCCCACTGGAGTGCTCACATGGCCATTCCCCTCGAGCCCACAAGGTACTGCCCAGGAGAGCAGACATCAGTGTAAATGTTATAGAGGCTGCACTGGACAGCAATTGCTCAGGACAAACTAATCCTAAACCAACAGAGCACAACTGCTGGCTCCCAGGTAAGATCTACCCAAAAATTACTGATGAGACACTCTGGACTTGGCACTTGGGCCAGACCTCTGGGCCCTTGGCCTGCCTCCCGTGTACTTCATACCATGAACCTGACAAGGCACAGGTCATCGATCCTGAGTATATGGACGCTTGTCTAGCACTCCCATACTCCCATGACCACACAGCCCCCTCTCCTGATCTGGAGTGATCCTTCCTGTCCCTGAATGGATGTGTATGCCAGGGGATCCCACTTGACTGCTGCACCTCACTGTACTGTTCTGACCACTGCAAACTCTTGGCTCTTCTGCAAGTGCCATGGCTCTAGCACTGCTGTCCTTACAAGGTTACGTCTGCACTGTGCACACATGTGCTCCTATACTCACATACATATATGCACATGGGGTTGTGTACATGACTACACTGCCATGCACACATGTGTGGGGACACTTGTTTACATACACGTGTGCAGACATGTACACATGTGCACGCGCACATACGCCTACATGCACACTTGAAGGCTCTGACAGAGGCTGATGGATTGCCCTTGAGGACAACCTAGGACAGCTGGGGACAGCTGGTGGGGACCAGATTCCACTCAACAGAAACAAAGGGTGAAGGGGGACCTGGGGTGGGCCCTGGCTCCGCCCCAGCCTCAAAAAGACCAGTCCATCAAGCATTGAGTGACAGCTAGTGGCCACACGTACCTCCCACTCCTGGAAGAGGCGGATCAAGTACTCGTAGTTTCGGGCTCGCAAGGCCAGGTGATCAATAAGCAGCAGCATGCACAAGGGGTCCTCGTCTGGCTCCAGGCTTCCAGACACAGCACAAAGGTGAGCAGAGGGAGCGGCTGTCATGGTCCAGACTATCTAGGGCTTCCCACCCCAACAGGAAGACAGGCAACCTGGGCCTCACCTCAGAATGAGCTTGCAGTACTCAAGTGCCGTGCGTGGGCAGCCCCGCTTCTCCAGGAAGCTCATCTGCTTGTAGAGGGCCAGGTAGAAGCTCCTGCAGCCGGGACAACTGTTTGAAGGTGCAGGCAGAGGAAGAGCACCCCCAGGACCCCCCTGCCCTCTGGTCCTCCACGGGGCTGACCGTAGCATCTGCCTGTGCCACATGCATCTGCACAACAGCCTGCACTCTGCTGCTGCCAACAGAGTCACTCAAGCAACTATATCTTCACACATGAGACCATGTCTACCATTTACCATTTAAGGGCACAGAGTCAAGTGCCAGAATTATGGCATACATATATCGAATTTTAACAGATGCTAATGAGTGAGGTTTTAGGGTAGAAGCCTCTGAGGGAGAGGTGACGACTGTGACTGCAGAGCTGCTAGCTGATTAAAGGATCAAGACGTGGTTGCCAAGCACCAGAGCCTACCCGCTGTCTACACAAGGGAAGAAAAATCATAGGCTGTCTGACACAACAGAGCTCTTTAGGCTCTCTGCAAAGACGGACAAGTGTGCCTTGAGCCAATTCTATCCTTGAGCCCAGCCCTTCCCAGCGAGCTTCCAGCTAAGCCCCTCCTTAGGGGTCTCCTGCTAGCCCTGCAGTGTCACTACACCCTCTCCTGCGGCTACAGGGCCCCTGCCTGGCTCACAGCAAACAGGCAGACTGGACGCTCCTTGAGGAGCTATGCTCACCTGTTCTCAGGTCTGCGGTAATCTAGCCGGCAAGTCCCACTTGTGAGACTGAACAGCGGATGGAAGGCACACTCCATGCTGTACAATGCTCTCTCTGTGGGCACACAAACACCAGGGGAAGGCATCATAGCCATGCACAGTCATTGCCAACCCTCCTATGAGCTTACAACAGGGAAAGTCATGTTAAGCTCCATTGCAAAACCTGGCGCACAAGTGTGAGCAGCAGAGCTGAGACAGACAGGGATAGCCTGAGTGTCTTGAGGTGTGAGGTCACACGTGCAACAGCAGGTGTCTGTGTGAACATGTAAAACATGTGTTGTGGAGTGTTTCTCAGCATGAGGCAGTAGGCCTGCGAGGTAAAGACATGAAAATCCCAGGGAGGGAGGCCCGGTCTGTCTGACCCCACAGGCAAGTGCAGAGACGGCAGAAGGGGTTGTGCTCTCAGCTGGGCGCAGGGGCCACTAGTGCACAGCTCAGGGCTTCCTTCCTGAGAGGCAGAGTGCCCTCACCCGCTCATTCATCTCCAAATGCCCGCAGAGGCTGGAGATGGGCCAGGTCAAACCTAGGAACTCAGCACACGTCAGCCAGGTGTAGCGCTGAGTAGTTGGTCACCACTATCGCCTCCTCGGGTACACACGAGCAGGAAGCTGGAGGCAGGTCTCCAATCCAGGTGTTTCCACAGAAGTCCCAACTGGTCTCTCAACAGCTAGGCTAAATGCCTGCCCCAGATTTTTGCTTTTAGTGTGTGTTAAACGTATATAGGCATTAGGTACATATCTACCTTATGTTAAATGCATAAAAGTATATACTTACCTTGTGTGTTACATGGAATATATGCATGTACCTATCTTGTGTGTTGAGTGCACCAGGCATGTATGCATGTACCTATCTTGTACATATGTATGTATCTATCTGAAAGGTACAGAGACAAAGAGCTCCCATTCACTGGTTTACTCCCCTAAAATGCCTGTCATAATCAAGACTAATCCAGGCCTTAGCCAGAAGTAGGAACTCAATCCCGGTCTTCCTCAGGGGAGAAGGGACCCAACCACTCAAGTCAGCTGCTCCCTCCCAGGGTGTGCATGGGCAGGGAACTGAACCAGGAGTGGATGGGAGGTGGGTATTCCCAGGGGAGTCTTCACCAGCCATTCACCCTAGAGTTCCTGTTGGGTGCTGCTGAGGCCAAAGTGTACACTAAAATCACAAGGGGTGTTAATGCACACAGACTGTCAACACAACTCATCATTTTGAAATTACCCTGGCAGACCCACTGTGACCCATGTAGTGAGCCATCTGTCAGTGCAAGAGGCCACCCATTTGCTGGCTGCCCTACGTGAACGAGTGGGTCCCATTGTACCAACAAGGTCGCGAGCCATCTCCTGGTCCTCCTGGAAACGGCAGGCATCGCTGAGCTGCAGGAGTGAGTCCACATGATAGGGGCTTGTCTGGAGCAGGACCTACAGGAAGACAGAAGGGAGAGAAGCTGCAGGCTGGGGCCTCCCTGCACAGATGCCACAAGAGTGCCCAATCCAGGGCCTGCCCTTCCCTCAGGCACCACCAGAATTCTAGTCGCAACAGCCCCCACCTAACATGGGTGCCACTGTTGTAGAGCTCAGGACTTTGTATGTCTGGGCTGTACTCTCTCTGCAATGTTCCAACAAAGAAGGAAAGTGAGTACTCTCCTTTTGCCAGGAAGGCCCTGGGTCTTGTGCACTGGCTCAGGGTGGCCACCTACACCCCATGCCTGGCTCCCAAGGAGAAGAAATGGAATCAGTATGCCACATGTGGACAGAATGCAGGTGACTTAGTCCCCAAACACACCTCCCTCTAGTCACAAGGGCTACACAGCTCAAGAACACCACAGGGATACAGGATCTGGCCCCGTCCTGGCCAGGAGCAGCAGGGTTACACACCACAATATTATTGGGCTCCATGGACTCCACGGCCAGCAGGAACTTGTGCTGTGTCTGCTGATACTCCTCGCTGTGCTCGAAGGCAAAGAAGGACATGCCTCTCTTGGATTCCAACAGCCGCATGGATAGACCTGTGAGGCACAGTGCTTGGGGAGGGACTGCACACCAGTGTCACCAGCCCCGTGTTACTCTGGGAAAGGATTTGGAGGTGTCCACACAGCCTGGCTGATTGGCCAGAGCCTGGGACTGGGCTGCCACCCCTCTGGCCTAGCTCACTCCCGGCACATTCAGGGTCTACTGCTCAGTGCTGAGTCTATACCAGGAGCCAGCATCCTAACTGCTAGAGTTTTCTTCAAAGTCACATTTCCCCAAAGAACCTGAGTCGATTCGACATGGCCCAGGATGCTGACCTTAGTCTAGGGAAATCCCAGTGTCTGTGCAGTCATTGGACCTGGCCGGGTCAGATCCTATACCCAGGCCACGTTTGGTCTGAAAGAATACCCAAAGTGGCTGCAAAAAGGGTAGGTGTAGGAGTGGGAGTGTCACAGAAGTCGTAGCATCAGCCCGTTCTCTGATTCTGATTGTGGGTGAATGGACCCAGTTTCTTCTAAAAATCCTGACAAGCACGTTCAGTGGCTTTTAGCCTTGGCAGCTATTCCCTCCCATCTGCTTCACTGAGGCCCAAGTTCTCAGGCCCAGAGGGAATGAGCTCCCAGGAACTCAACTTCAGGGCTCATGCGGCACCAGGGCTTCTCAGCTAAAAGCAGCACCAGGCTGGGGTCCTCAACATGAGCTCCTGAACCCTAGACACAGGAGAGTAGCAAGTATCGCCGCTGCACAGTGCTATCTCTGCTTCAGGCTTTCCAAGGGCACTTGATGCTGGCAAGATTAGGGTTACTGCATTGTCATAGTGAACTGTGACCACAGGGACAGAGTCCAACACTATCACAGACAGAAGCTTAGGCATTCCCAGGCACCAGCACATGAGCGAGATCAAGTGAGCAAACAGAACCAGGCTAGCACACAGAACACCAGGTGAGCACACACAGACCTCAAACACAGGGCCTAGCCCTGGGGCAGAGCGTACCTGGCTTGCTGTACCGGGGCCAGGTGCTCTTGGGAGTTGTTAGCCACGTACACTTGGGATACATGCGCTGTCTTTGCCGAGGCCTGGGAAGAGAACAAGGCAGCTTACTCCCGTTGCCCACAGAACCACAGGAGTTGCCTGATCTCGGCAGGAGATAAAGGAAAAGTGGGGAAGACTGGTGTTCCAAGGACAGAACACAGAGAAACAGTGAAATGAACCACTGCTGGTTGGCACTGAACACCATGTACCATGCCAGTCAAAAGGCAGGAGTAGTCACCTAAGATAAAGGGCATAAAAGTGAGCCTGGGGCTGGTGTTGTGGTGCAGCATATTCAGCTGCCACCCGTAGTGTCAGCAAACCTTGTAAGCCAACTACTGTGATGCTGAGAATATGGAGTTAGGGTTCACGGTTAGGGTCTGGATATGGTTGTTAGGGTGGATGCCATGCTTTGATCCTGGGGACTCTATGAGAAGGGGAACACAAGAGATGACACACATTGAGAGGCACATGTACTGGCTCCTGCTAAGAGTTGCCTGTGGGGCTCCGTGAAATAGCTCAATTGGTTAATCCTTGCCCTGCGAGTGCCAGGATCCCATATGGGTGCCAGTTTGTGTCCTGCTGCTCCACTTCCCATCCAATTCCTTGATGATGGACTGGGAAAGCAGTGAAGGATGGCCAAAGCCTTGGGAGCTTCTTTGGAAGAAGCTCCTGGTTCCTCGCTTCAGATCAGCTCAGCTCTGGCTGTTGCAGCCATTTGGGGAGTGAACCAGATCTTCTGTCTCTCCTCTCTGTAAATCTACCTAGTAAAAATAAATAAATCAACTTTTTAAAAAAGAGAGTTGCTTGTGCCAGGAAGTGACACAGCCAAAGGAAGGCCCAGAACCTGCTTTTCTTCAGGAATTCTGCCTTGCAGGTTCTGTTACAGAAGAAGCTAACTGACCACTGGACGCACCAATATCAGGCTGGGGCAATTCAGTGATGGAGGGTAGAGAACCAGGAGAAAGAGCAGAAATGCTTCCAAGAGTAGTCTCAAAGGAGACAGGAGCAGGATGAGGGGTGGGTGGGCAACAGGAGGGAGGCAGCTCTTCCGGGTTGAAGGAAATGAGCCCCAGGGGGAGGGCGTACCTCAGAGTACTCAGGCTCAAATCCCACCTCCATCTCCTGCTAACATGCACCCTGGGTCCCTGTCACCCATGAAGGAGACCTAGACTGAGTTTCAGGCTCCCAGCTTCAGCCTGGCCCAGTTGTGGCTGTTGCCATCTAGGGAGTAAACCAGGGGATGGAAGATCCCTGTTTGCCTATTTTTCTGTTTCTTTCTTCCTGTCATTCACTTTTCAAATACATACAGACAAATAAAAGTTTAAAAATAAGTGTAATAGTACTGAAATAATTAATGCAATTATCACTAATCAACAATAAACACAACATTACAAACTAATCAACACCAGTAACTCACCCGCAGAAACAGGATTACATGAAGGAAGAAAAGGGCAGAGGCAAGGGGTGTGGTGAAAAAGGGAACATCTTATCTTTTGTTTTACTTTAAGATTTATTTCTTTTTATTAGAAAGGCAGACATACAGAGGAAGATCTTCCATCTGCTGATTCACTGTCCAAGAGGCCGCAATGGCCAGAGCTGAGCCAATTGGAAGCCAGGTCTCCCACGCGGGTACAGGGTCCCAAGGCTTTGGGCCGTCCTCGACTGCCTTCCCAAGCCACAAGCAGGGAGATGGGAAGTGGATGGGAAGTGGGGCTGCCGAGTTTAGAACCAACACCTATATGGGATCTCAGTATGTGCAAGGCGAGGACTCTAGCTGCTACACGACTGTGCCAGGCCCCAAATGTAACATCTTAAAAAGTTAAGTGCTGCTCATTAATATTCCAGAAAGAAATGTCTTCTTCAGCCTGAACAACCTGACGTGAATAGCATAAATGACTTGGCTCAATGGCTCAATCTTCACCTTGCAGGCACCAGCACCCCACATGGGCAACGGTTCAAGTCCCAGCTGCTTCACTTCCCACCTAGCACCCTGCTAGTACAACTAAGAAAGCAGCGTAAGACTTGGCCCACTAACACCTGCACGTAAGATCTGGGTGGAGTTCCAGTCTCCTGTAGCCTGGCGCACTCTTGGCTGTCACAGGCATTCTGGCCACCCTAGGGACATCAGCAGGAATTTGGAATGGGAGTGGAGGTGGGACTTGACATGCAAGCACCCTGACAGACGATAAAGCCTCCCATACCCGATGATCCCACAACTCCTCCGGAGGGCAATTTGGCAGCATGTAGAAAACCGAAAATGCAGACCAATGGACAACTGGATACAAGTGTTCCACAGCTGGGCCCAGCACAGTAGCATAGTGGCTAAAGTCCTAGCCTTGAATGTGCCAGGATCCCATATGGACACTGGTTCTAATCCCGGCAGCCCCACCTCCCATCCTGCTCACTGCTTGTGACCTGGGAAAGCAGTCAAGGACGGCCCAAAACCTTGGGACCCTGTACCCATGTGGGAGACCTGGAAGAGGCTCCTGGCTCCTGGCTTCAGATCGGCTCAGCTCCAGCTATTATAGCCACTTGGGGAGTGAACCATGAGACAGAAGATCTTCCTCTGTGTATCTGCCTTTCTGATAAAAATAAATAAATCTTTAATTAATTAGTTAATCAATTTTAAAAAATGTTCCACAGCTGTGGTGGGCCACACAGGTCCCTATGAATATGGCCTGACCACTGTGAGTGGATGACATCTGTATAACTTGGAGTAGAACATTCTAACGCCTCAGAACTGCAAAACCAGAGCCCCGTGGCTAAGGACAGAAGTGTGACACATGTGGGAGATGCACAGCCACATCTTTGCAGAAGCAGGGAAACTGAGGTACTTCCATCTACACCCTGACCCCACCCCCATTCTTATTTGTAGGACAGTCAGAAAGAAATGGTCTGCCTGCTGGGCCCTTCCTCAGCGGCAGCTGGAACTGCTTCCAGGTCTCCCCTTTGGTGACCACCTGCTGCCTCCCAGGGTTCACTCAGGAAGAAGCTGGATGGGAACTGGCATAGCTGCACTCAAGCCAGGCAGTTAGACATGGAATGAGGGCATTTCCCAAGTGGAGATTTAACTGTTGGTTTTTTTTTTTTTGAATTTTTATTTTTATCCATCTCAGCACAGAGTTCTCACCCACCGGTTCACGTCCTGATTTCCACAACCTAAGGGGCCGGGCAGGGACTCAAGTCAGATTCCTGACCTGGGTGACAGGGACCCAACTATTTGAGCCATCATTGTAGCCTTACGCGGTCCACCGTCAACAGGAAGTGGAGAAGGGAGCTGGGACTGGACATAACCCAGATACTCTGACGCCCTGTTTGGGCATTTCAGGTTGGCAACAGCTCTCCCACCAGGGCCTCTGCAGCACCAGGAACACGCTTCAAGCCTGGCTGACAGCCCAACAAGGAACCAAACAGCTTCTACCAGGCAGCTCAGAGTAGCTCTTACCTTTGCTCACCCAGGACAGCACGAGCACCAAAATATCGCTTCAGCTCTGTGTCTGGATTCAAGTGTCTGCAGAAACAGAAATTACACCAAGAATTACATTACATTCTTCCCCAGGGAGCCCAGACATTCCAGTGAGCCACCAGAAAACCCAGCAGTGGCAGAATGACGCTGGCCAGTGGCAAGAATAAGAAATACCACCTGACACAATGGCTCAGTGGCAAGACCCAGAGATAGGGCCTGGTGCGATGGCTCAATGGCAAGCTAGGACTCCACATGTGCAGTGGCTGCTCCATTTCCCTCCAGCTCCATGCTTGTGGCCTGGGAAGCAGTAGAAGATGCCCCAAAGCCTCGGGACCCTGCTCCCACGTGGGAGACCTGAAATAAGCTCCTGATTTTAGGTCAGCTCAATTCCAGACATTGTAGCCACTTGGGGAGTGAACTAAACCAGTGATGGAAGATCTTTCTGTAAATCTGCCTTTCCAATAAAAATAAACACAAAAAGAGATAGAAATCAACTAGGAGGACAAGGCCTTTCTATACAGTTTTCCTAAGCCCATCAAGAGGGGCACTCAGGTCCTCCTGTCCTCACCTTGCTGCATGTTTACCAACAACTAGCCAGTTTTTGGTTTCATAATTATTTGTTTTATTAGAAAGGTAGATATACAGAGAGAAGGAGATACAGAGAGAAAGGTTCTCTGTCTGCTGGTTCACTCTCCAAGTGGCTGCCAACAGAAGGACCTGAATTGATCCAAAGCCAAGAGCCTAGGGCCTCCTCCGGGTCTCTCCGCAGGTACAGGGTCCCAAGGCTTTGAGCCACCCTCTACACTCCTCCCAGCCCACCAGCACGGAGCTGGATGAGAAGTAGAGCAGCCAGGATACGATCCAGTGCCCATGTGGGATCCCGGCAAATCCACTATGCTATTGCACTGGGCTCAACAAATGGCCACTTTTAAACAGAGCCAGAAATGTTTTGAAATGACAGGCAATGAATCTGCTGTACTGGACTTCAGCCTCTCTTCCCAGGCCGCACCTGTGTTCCACATACAGGACGTGCTTCTTAGCGCTCAGGGGAGGGGGCCCTGGGCGGCTGAACCCACTGTTGTCCTCAATCCTCTCCAGGATGCGATCAATATCTTCTAGCCCATTTTCCTAAAAGTCAAAAACCACATTGACTTCTCAAAATATCAAAATAATACTTAAATATTTTTTAAGAACTATTAATTTGTACTTACATCCTAAAGGAAAGTAAATTCAAACATTATATAATAGACATTTAGGCAAAAAAGAAAAAAAAGAGTGAGGGGAGAAAGATGTTTCCTAAGACGTTCAGACGAGAATCACAAAAATCAGTGGCATGGCAGGTAAAGCCTTTGACTACAATGCTGGCATCCCACAGGACACTGGTAGGAGTCCTGGCTGCTTCACTTCCAATCCAGCCACCTCTTTAATGACCTGGGAGGGCAATGGAAGATGGCTCAAGTATTTCTGCCCCTGGGATAAGCTCTTGGCTCTTGGCCTTGTACTGGCCAGCCTTAGCTGTTGTGGTCATCTGGGGAGTGAGCCAGTAGACGGAAGACCTCTATATCTCTCTCCTTCTCTATATATCTCCGAAACTGCCTTTAAAAAAAATCTATTTTATTGGAAAGGCAGATTTACAAAGGGGAAGAGAGACAAAAAGATCTTGCATTCACTGGTTCACTTCCCAAATGGGTGATCAAAACAAGGAGCCAAGAGCTTCTTCCAGGTCTCCCACATGGGTGCAGGGTCCCAAGGCTTTGGGCCGTCCTCCACTGCTTTCCCAGGCCACAGGCAGGGAGCTGGATAGAAAGAAGAACAGCTAGGACACAGACAGGTGCCCATATGGGATCCCAGAGCTTGGAGGTGGAGGATTAGTCAACTGAGCCATTGTGCTGGACCCAACTCTACTTTTCTAAAAAATAAACAGATCTTTAAAAAATAAAAGAAATAAAACGAATCTTAAAAAACAAAATAGAACTCCTCACCCTGGACTCCCTACTCAGCTAAGCACAGGAAATACACACTCTATCAATCCGCTGGGTGGGACTCCACCACTGGGACACCTGCCTTAATGAGTGCTGGGTACATGGGAACGAAGTGGAGAAACACAAAGGCAGAATCAGCTCTCTTCCTCCCCTTAGTCTCCTCATGGGAGACAACCAAGAGCCCAAACAGAGCTGCAGGCAAAGAAGCAAAGGGCAGAGAAACCACACCTGATGCACATACCAATGGTTCTCCCATGCTGGTTTTCTTATTCTTCTGTTTCTTTTTCTTCTTTCGGAGTTTGCCACTTCCATGAGACTAAATAAAACAGCTACATTTTAATCAACAGCAAGAGAAGGAAAACCCCAAAAACTGGCAGCTGAAGCTGTAAGCTCAAGCCCCTCCTCTAAGCATGGCCCATCCATTCCCAGATGCCTCTTCAAGACACGGCCTTCCCTAGAGGCACAGCTGACCATTCTCTCACACCCTTCTAGGCTGTTTCACACTGCCGCTGTGGTCATCCCATGCCTGAATCTAGCCAGCTCCAGCTCCATGAGTGCCAGCGCCACTTCACACTGACCCCACCTTCTCATACCTGACTCTCTGGGTCGGGACTCCCCAGCTGTACTTGTCCAGTCATGTCTACGTTGTCCTCGCAACCTGAGGTTCTGGGGGACAAAGACCCCTCCACAGGGCCCAGCAGGCACCCAGTGAGCCCTTCTGGTGTCCAGGAGAAAACCCTCCCTCTGCGGCTGGCATTTGGCCAGTGGTTAGAATGCCCATGTCCCACGCCAGGTGTCTGGGCTGCTGACTCTGGCCCTGCTGCTCTAGGAATCTCATGCAGCTGATGACTCAAGCAGCTGAGTTCCTATCACCCAAAACTAAACTGATTCCAGCACCTGGTTCTGACCTGGCAGAGTCCTGGCCACTGCGCGGCATTAGCGAGTGCACCAGCAGATGGTAGATCTCTATGTCTGTGCCTTCCAAATACATAAACATTACAAAAATAGAACAAGAAAAAGAAAGAAAGCAAGCAAGCTAAAGCACACACATACATTAACAGTCTTCAGGGACCTTCTCCATGACAAGGCGCAGCAGCACTGCCTACCATGCACACTCCACTGCTCCCAGGCCAAGATGCAGAGGCAGAGGGACACACTACAACACCTGGGCATAGCACCCTAGATACACTGCACCTGGGCATAGCACCCTGGATACAGCACCCTGGACATGCTGCATGTGGGTACAGAGCCCTGCACACATTATATCTGCACATAATGGTCAGGGTAGACACGGCACCCTGAATATGATACACCTGGACAAAGCACCATGATGGCACCGCTGGTCTCAGGAATCTCATGCAAATGTCATCAGGCCCCCAGGAGAATGCTGGCAATGAAGCAGTGAACATAACCAGATGCACGGGGCGCCCAGCCCTCCTCCCAGCATGTGTCACGGGGACTTGTCTACCTGCTCTGGTGGCACTGCTTCAGTCACTTCGGTGTCCTTCTTGGTCTCTGCACTTCTGTGTTGGATTCTTCCTTTGTTCCCTGATGCCATGGGCTCTGCCAGGACACAACCAGACCTGTCCCCATTTACCACAGGATCATCCTCCAGGTCTTCCATGTGGATCTGAAAAAAAAAAAAAAAACAGGTTGTACAGTCACAAGGACACAGCTGACAGAGTCCTGGTGTGAACAGCAGTGCTGAGAAGGGGAACTTGAAGTGGTTTAGACTGCCTCGGTCAGGGGGCACCAGCGAACTCGATGTTCTCTGTCTTTAAGGACAATTCAAAGAAGCCCCAAGATCAACCCCATGGATGGAGTACGACCCAAGAGACAAGAGACATGATTTAGCCAGTGCACTCGTCTTCTTGTGCAGCCCTCAGTGCACATACAGCAGCAGGCAGCACAAAGACAGATCCCTGGCCTGCTAACATTCACTCACCACAACAGAAGTCACAGCCCCCCTTGGCATACGTGGGGCAAACACACACACAGACACACAGGAAGCTGAGTGCAGACACACACACATAGACACAGCACTGTGGGGCAGACACACACACATAGACACACACACAGAGTGCTGAGTACAGACACACACATACACGCACACTCACACACGGGAGAGGACAGGCAGGGGGAGCTTCAGGAGAAGGGAAGAGGTGCACGCAAGTTAGGGACCAAGTTTTGGAAGTTCAGCGTAGAGATCAGATCAATGTAACTGATTATGAGGTGCAGAAATAAATGTGATTTCATGTTCACTTTGGAAAAGTTGCAGAATATAAAGCTCAAAAATAAAACTAGGGCCTGGCATAGTGGCCTAGCAGCTAAAGTCCTAGCCTTGAACGTGCCAGAATCCCATATGGGTGCCAGTTCTTATCCTGGCAGCCCCACTTCCCATCCAGCTCCCTGCTTGTGGCCTGGGAAAGGAGTGGAGGACAGCCCAAAGCCATGGGAGAATTATCAAAACCATTTCAGCAGTACCCTCAGAACTTGCTCCACATGAGGGACGCTGGGATGACACTGGGTGGCCGTCCCCCGGCCCCAGGTACTGATGCAGTTAGGCATCTGGGAGTAACCCTCTCCCTCTCCCCTTTTCTCCTCCTTTCCCCAAATACATGAAAAAAAAAAAAAAAATAGAAGTACTGTCTCAACCACTTTCCCCTATACCTCGAGCCTCCTCACCCTAATCGCTGGTCCACATGGACATGCACGCCTCTCAAGCATGTAAATACTATCAAAAATAAAATGATTATTGGAAAAAAAAGAGCGAAAGAGAGAGGAGACACAGATACCTTCTACCCTCTGTTCACTCCCCAGGCAGCTGCAACAGCCAGGCCAGGGCCAGGCCGAAGCCTAGATTTTACCATGAGTCTCCCCAGGCTACCAGATGAGTGGCAGGGCCTGCAGACCCCAGGCCCCTCTCTCTACTACCTTCCAGACATGTCAGCAGGAAGCTGGATGGGATCTGAGGAAGTTACTGGTGTTGCAAGCAAAAGCCTATCCTGTGCCAGCTTCATACCACCTCTTTACGAAGACACCAGGGCTTTCTTACGTGCCTGGCCGTCATTCATATGGGCACACTGGCCATTCCTCTGTGCTTGCGCAATTTTTTGGCACATTTTATTTATTTTTTGAAAGATTTTATTTACTTGAAAAGTAGAGTGACACAAACACAAGGAAAGATCTTCCATCTGCTGATTCACTCTCCAGATGGCACCAATGCCCAGTGCTGGCCCGGTTATTCCAGGACTGCAATGAGGATGGCAGAGTGCTGAAGCCTGCTACCTCCAGGGTGCCCACCAGCAGGAAGCTAGAATTAGGAGCAGAGCTGGGACTGGAACCCAGACACTCGGGGAAACCAGGGTTCCCAAAGCCATCTTAGGCACTGCATAAAACGCCCACCCCCAAAACAGTGTAGATTAAATGTCGAGTTTCCCAAGGGCAGACAGGTGTGGGATGAGCAGGCAGGCACTCAACAGAAAGTGTACAGGACGCATGGACCGCACACCTGCCACAGGGTTGAGGTAGGGTTAGGTCGCAGGGATTGCACAGGTCTCAGCTGCTGACAATAAAACCCGCTAGAGGAGTAGGACCCGGTGCACTCCAGCTGATTCCAGTCTGCTGGGATTCTGGCTTCCTGCTAATATTTACCCTGGCACGCAGGTAGCTGGAAACCTGCCAATCAGTGAAATGCCTGAGTGGAGCCCTCAGTGCCAGTATTCTGTGGAGAGAACCAGCAGGAAGCAGGTGTCTGTCTCAGTAGCACAGGACCCAGAGCCGGGACGCCCTGCATGCTCTTCTGCAGTCCCTCCTCTGGACATGACAACTCCATCAGCTCCCTCCCGGCCCGATTCTGCAGTCTACCTCCACAACATCAAGTCCAAGTCCCGAGTCCCGCCCACAGCCCTGCCCGGACTGCCCATCACTAACCCCCTACTTAGCCCCGCCCCGAAGGTCTGTCACCGCCTCCTCTGTCCGTAGCCCCGCCCCTATTCCCTGTTACCGGTCCCGCCTCCAGAGCAGCCTGTTAGTGCCCCCTTCCTTAGCCCCGCCCAGAAGAGCCTGCCAGCGCCCCCGAGTCCGCAGGTCCGCCTCCAGAAGGGCCCCGCCCCGTCCGCCGTAGTGCTCACATCCCGGCCCCGCCTACTCAGCCGGAGTCCAGGTCCGCTCGGCCCCGCCCCCGTGACGTCAGGCCTCGCCCCGCCCCCAGTCTCCCGGCTGCTCACCAACTCGAACCGGTTGTTAACTCGAACGCCCTCCTTCCCTGCGCGCCCGGGGCGCCGGCCACCCGGTTTCCGTCTCGGCCCTTCTTCCTCCGCGTCATCCTCATCGTCGAGGTCAAACTGCAGGGCTCCCGGCCCGAGGGGCTCCTGGCCGCGCTGTTCCCCCCTCAGCCTCCGGAGGGCTCGGCGCGACATAGGACCCAACGGCCGCTGACGTCTGCAGAGCCAGAAGGAAGAGCCGGAGGAGACGGCCACCGGCACGCCTGCGCACACAAGGCTGGCGTGTCGCGTCTGCGCGCCGCGGCTGCCCGGAACTTCCTGTCCGTTACCAGTTGGCAGCAGTGAAGGTGCAGGCGCTTCCGGGAGCGCTCTCGCGAGAGCTGGGCGCTTCACCTGGCGTGCGGCCGGCGTCGGCCAGGCTGGGGTCATCCCCGAGTACCAGAGCTGCAGCTTCAAGTCGGCGGGCAGGGCCGGCTGCTGCGCGAGTGCACAGGGTGGGCTTCACTGCCGCGGGGACCTTGGTCAGCGTTGACAAGCTCTGTGGAGGCAGCCGAGACGGCGAGCCACGGGGTTGAGGTAGGGTGAGAGTTGTCGGGTCTGCACGTTGAGGAACCTGGGCTGAGGACAGCAGACCCTGGCGAGCGATCGTGGTTCGGCCGCTGGCACAGAGCTGCTGCCTGCTCCCAGCCTTGCCTGCATTGAACCGGGCTGGTTGTTAACTGGTCCAGTGGATGGACGCATCGCACCGTGTCTTGCCTGGCCTAGAGATGTGACTCGGGAAGACCTGGCTGTAGCTGCTTTTGTGTACACAAGAGAAATGAACTGGGCCTGGCCCACAGCGGAGATAGCTTGGCTCTGAGAAGTCACAGGCGGCCTCTGTTTCTCAGGTCCAGGAGGCCCCCTGGGCTGATTGTGCGGCATGCTTTTCCAGTGCCTACGGTGTCTGGCCTGGGTGATCTGAAGCAAGATGCAAAGATGAAACTCAGGCACTCTGACAGAGAATGGAAGCCTTTTTAACTGGAAAGGCACGTTTACAGAGAGAAGCAAAGATGAGATCTTCCATCCACTGGTTCACTCCCCAAATGGCCACAACAGCTGGAGTTGAATCAATCTGAACGTGGGAGCACAAGCTTCCTTCGGGTCTCCCACACGGTATAGCATTCCAAGGCTTTAGGCCATCTTTTGCTGCCCTCCCAGCCCACAGGCAGGGAGCTGAATGGGAAGTGGAGCAACTGGGACATGAACCGGTGGCCACATGGGATCCCAGCACTTGGAGGTGGAGGACCGGCCAATTGAGCTATCACACTGGGTCCCTGGGAGGCATCTTAGCCATTAGGCCACATGTCTACCCATAGGATATGCTTTATTTCCAAGTGTTTCATGTGAATTAGAACCCAGTCTCCCTATGGTTGCAGCTGGGAGCTGGACATGCTGCCGGTGCCAGCTTCTCCCCGGGTGGAATCGGTGATGAAGGCATTTACCTCCCAGGTTTGTCTGCCTGCAGGTGTGCCAGGCAGCATCAGCTTTGTGCATTCCTGACCCTCTGCCCCTGTTTCCTTCGTGTCTTTTTTAAAGATGTATTTGTTTGAAAGGCAGAATGGCGGAAAATGAGCCAGAGATGGATCTTCCAGTCTGGTTCACTCTAGCATACCACAGAGCCAGGGCTAGGCCAAGCCTTGGTCAGGGACCAGAAACTCTGGGGTCTGCCTTGTGAGTAGCAGAAACCGAAGAACTCAAGCAAAAAATTGGCCCACTAGTATGGATGTAGGCACCTCAGTAGTGGCTAGGGAATTAACCATGGCCTGCAACGCTGGGGTCCTACAAATGTGCTGGTTTGTGTTCCAGCTGCTACACTCAGTTCTCAGCAGCAGATGGCCATGTCCCTGGGTCCCTGTCACCCACATGGGACACTTAGGTGGAGGTACTGGCGCTTGGCGTGGCCTGACCCAGGCCCAGCTGTCTGAGGAGGGAAACAAGATATGGAAGATCTCTGTTTTCTGTGATTCTGCCTTTCAGATAAGTTTTTTGTTTTGTTTTTTAAGGGGGAGGGAATGAAAATCCAGGAACAGGAAAGAAATCTATGATGCGTTGAAGGAACAGCTGGGAGCTGGCCGCTCTAGCTTTTTGTTTATAGATTTATTTATCTTTAATGGAAAGACAGATTTACAGAGAGGTGAAGATCTTGCATCTGCTGGCTGCAATGGCCAGAGCTAAGCCAACCTGAAGCCAGGAGCTTCTAGGTCTGCCACGTGGGTGCAGGTTCCTCTGCTACCTTCCCAGGCCATACGCAGGGAGCTGGATGAGACGTGGAGCAGCTGGAATACAAACTGGTACCCATATGGGATGCTGGAGTCTTACAAGGGGAAGATTAGCCAGTTGAGCTATGGTGCCGGGATCTGCTCTAGTTTTGAGTATTTGAATTTCTTGTACTCCAAAATGAAAGCATTCTGTCTTGCAGATTTCACTGGGGTTTCAGCATGTTCCTAGGCTGTATGTCTTTGGCCAGATTCCTTCACGTCAGTTTGCTCACTGTCAGGTAAAGTAATGACAGGACTCGCCTCCTGGGTCCCTATGAGCAGGCAGGAACTGACACAAGCCTTGCCTGTGGTCCACCCAGGGTTTCCTGTCTCTGGAGATGATGTCCAGAGTAGCCCTAGGCCTGCAGGTGCGGCTAGAGTGAGTGCCAAGCAGCTCAGCGAAGTCTGTCCAAAGATGTGAAGCTGGTAGAGGTGGCAGCTGGGGCTTTGTCAACAGGAAGTGCCTCATGTCATGGGACACTCAACCACTGAGCCAAGGTGGCCACTCTGGCCCCAAGGGAAGGTGCCCAATGCCGTGGGCTCAGGTGGAAGACTTTGTGAGGCCAGGAGCAGCATGTGTCCTCTCTGCATCAGGACCATCCTCTGGGCTAGTGACCAGTGTGTACAGGGCTGCAGATGCCAGGCCAGCATCAGGGAGCAAACTCCACCTCAGGGACTTTGTGGGACCCCAGGCGTCCTGTTCATACTTAGACTGTAGCCAGGGAGAAGCTGTTGTGGCAGGACCCTCCCCGCCCCCCAGATCCAGAACAGATCTCAGTGAGAACTGCCCCCACCCACTTGTCTTCCCAAGGAACTCAGAATCAACCTTCCCTGGGACCTGCAGTGAGCCTGGCCACAAAGGACAGCTGGAGACACAGGTAGAAACGTAGGCTGCGTGTATATATTATATAAATGATCTATCTATGTATATATGTACATGCACAGCTCAGGAAGCTGGGGGTGGCTGTACCCTAGGACCCAGAGCAGCTCAGTACTGAGCTTCTCTCTGGGACTGTCACTTGAGGTCCAAAGTCCCGGTGTGAGGGATGTAGAGGGACTGGGTCTGGCGGCTGCGGCGTGGCGTTGTATTGAGCACGTCCACACTCTTGCGGCTGGAGTGCACCACGTCAGCCACAAACCTGGCACAGTCGCTACAGACGTCCTTCAGGACACAGCCGTGGGTATAGATGTGGGGGAATGCCTCCTCCACGCTCCGCCACTGCGGGCCCTGCAGGGACCTGGGTAGGGCAGAGGGAGGAACCAGCTGCTGAGATGTCAAGTGCACCCTCTTCCCCAGGTCCCCATGTGGATCCCAGGAATGGACGCGCCTCAAGAGTTCATGCTAGCAAAGAGTCTTCCTTGACAGGAACTTGAGTCCCGAGCCCCAACCACCCAGGTCGGATTCCCGACCCCATCTCCCAGAGCCCTCCTGATCTGTCTCCATGCAGCAGCAGAGCTTCCATGGCCTCGGAAAGGTCCCTGCCTCCTCAGCCCAGCACCTATGTGACTGAGGAGCCAGTCACAGGGAACCTGAGGTGAGGGAACATACTGGAAGATATCTCTTCTCTGGGCTGTGGAGGCCCTGGCAACCGACGCCCTCTGTGGACCTTCGAAGCCCAGTGTGTAGACAGGGATGTGTGCAAACTTCTTGGAAGGCATCTTCATCTGCAACACATACAGGGCAAGTGGACAAGACTCCCTTCCCAGGCCCAGGCCCACTGTGTGCTCAGAGTGCTGTGCTACCGACTACTGTGGTCTCTGCACACCCTGCTGAGCTGCCTGCTCCTCCAGGCATGGACAGAATCGGGCAGCATTTCATGAGGTGGGAGTTTTTCCTGGCCAAGATGCAATGATAGCCCAGCATGATGGCTCAGTGTCTAAATCCTTGCCTTACACGCTCCAGGATCCTATATGGATGCTGGTTCATGTCACGGCTGCTACACTTCCCATCCAGCTCCCTGCTTGTGGCCTGGGAAACCAGTGGAAGATGCCCCAAAGCCTTGAGACCCTGCACCCATGTGCACCCAGAAGCTGCTGGCTTCAGACTGGCTTAGCACTAGCCATTGCAGCCATTTGGAAAGTGAACCAGTGAACAGAAGATCTTTCTATATCCTTTTCTCTGTAAATGTGCCTTTCCAATAAAAAAGAATCTAAAAAAGAGAGAGACGTAATGGTAGAAGTATCTAGGAACTGAATGCATCTAAGCATTACTGTTCATCACCTCTGAGCATGTGTCCCCCAGAGGTGATGGCCAAAGCTAAGATTTCAGAGGGGAAATGCAAGGAAGATGGCCCAGTCCCAGTCATTGTGGACATTAGGGATTGAACCAGAAGATTGAAGATCTTTCTGTCTCTGTTGCTCTTTCAAATAAATAATGAAATAATAATAATAATTTAAAAAACACCTATCAGGTCTTTAAAAACTACACACAGTCTTGAGAAGTACAGGGAAGAAGGGTCCTGCCTGAGGAGAGGTGTGGCTGTGGAGCCTGGTGAGGGCAGGAGACATGGACCTCCTGCCCCCGTCGCTCAGAGCCCAGGGATATTCACCTTCATGCTGCAGGAGGCGCAGACAGCTCTGGAAGGAAAGGAAGGGGAGCAAATTCAGCGGTGAAGAGGCTGATTCTGCATATCCCCCACTGGCACCCCATGCGTCCTGGGCCAGACAGACCCTGTCTACCCCTGGTTACTGCAGGACCCGACTGTCACTCCATACCATCCCTGCCCCTGCCCGCCCCGGTAGCTGCAGGACTCAGTAAGACTCTGAAAAAAGAGAATGGGGATGCTCCTGGCCAGCAAGGAGGTTTCCACTTCCAGACTACTGCAGCATCGTGAACAAAAATGTATCTGAAGTGTATAACTAAGTCTTCATACATGAATGATCTCTAATCCACTGTCAGCAAACCCAGAGGTTAATTTTATTTCAGCATGATCAGATAATCTGTTGTATATGACTTGAATCCTCTTGAATTTATCTATATAGGTTCTCGTCTGTGTGCACTGCAGAAAGTGGCTGCTTAGCACGAAGGTGAGTGGTGCCTCTGCAGGGCAAATCAACGGATGGCGCCTCTGAAGTCTGGCAAATCAATGGGTGGGGATGGCCATCCAGCCACACTGGCCCGTGGGCTACAGCTGGGCAAGCCCTGCTGGAGGCTATCCTTTGCCCAGATGCACTCAGCTCTCGAGGGGGGCCTCTGAGGCAGGTCCTGGGGTTCTGTGCCCTTCTCGCCTATCTGCAACACTGTCCTGAGAACATCCTTCATCCTTGTCAGGGTCCCTTCCTTGGCTCCACACCCAGTATCTTAAAAACCATGGTCCCATATCCTTTGCCAGCCTGTTTTTGTGTATGTCTGAGTAGAATGTGTTTGTTCTGGCTAAGCTATCTAAATTAGATAAATGTTAAAATTCTGGAACTTATGAACTCAATGTAGTGTGGTATAAGTCACAGTCCCAGGCCAGCCCTGGTCTGGAGGTGTCCTACCTCCTTTTCTGGTAAACTTGTGGCCAGGGCATGCTCAGAAGGCTCACCTCTTGCAGAAGAGACAGGTGGGAGGCCAGGAGAACAGGGGGAACTTGGCTCGGCAGCAACAGCAAACCTGTGAGGAAGCGCCTGGCTAGAGCCCACCATGGTCCCACACTCCGGGTAGGGTTAGGGGAGGGTGTCCTAAGCACCCCACTTGCTGAGTGAGCCAGCAGAAGGGGATGGGGCCTTACCTTCCCCTTCTTCAGGCTGCTGAGGAGCTCCGGGTTATGCAAGAACTTCTCCATCTCTGCCTTTACCAGCACACGGCGCACATCCATCACTTCCTCCACCGTCAGGGCCAGACTCTCCACAGGGTGGCTGAACTCCTGGGTGGAGGCCGACGACAGAACAGGCTGCTGGCTTCCTCAACACTGAAGCCCCTGACTTCCTCTGCTGCCCCCCACCTAGTAAACACCTTGTTCTCTTCCAGGTTGCAGCATGACTGTGTCCTATGTCCCTGTTGACCCATCCCACCCTCCACCTCACCAGTGCTTAGCACAAAACTCAACATAATCTAAGCCTCAGTTTTTCTCCTCTGTGAAATGGGCTGTTTGTTTCAATGCTGCTGAGGTCATACGTGGAAAGCCCTTCACAGGCTGCAGAGCTCAAAAAGCCACTGTTGCCACAGAGGAGGCAGGATTTGTGTGTTGCTGGTGGGTGCAAGCTGCGGGCACATGCGGGACCAGGGACCCTGCTTGTATCCTGTCTGACTTGGCTGACAGTGTTACGTGTGTACAGTCATTCCCCTCGGAGCTTGAGGCCACTACGCTGAGTGCAGAGACCACAGCCTGCCCCTTGGATGAGGCATGAACAGTGTTCAGACCCCAGAGCTGCAAATCTACTTGGAACATGTGGTCCCTATATTTATTTGGGACTCTCGAGTTTTACTTAGAAGGCAGAGTGACAATTCACTGGTTCATTCCTCAAATGCCCACAGAAGCCAGGACTGGACCAGGCTGAAGCTAGGAGCCAGAGAATCCAGCCAGGTCTCTCTTCTGGGCGCCAGGAACCCAAGTACTTGGGCCATCACCTGCTGCGTCCGGTACATTAGTAGGAAAGTGGGCTGGAAGCTTGGATCTGGGTTTGGTGCTATGGCGGAATTGGCTGAGCTACATTCTACAGCATTCATCCCCCTTGGACTCAAGTTGGATTCCTGGTTGCTCCACTTCAACCCAGCCCCTGCTCTTGGGCCTGGGAAAGCAGCAGATGATGGCCCAAATGCTTGGGCTCCTACATCCACAGATGAGACTCAGCTGAAGTCCATGGCCCCTGCCTGGCCTACCCCTGATGTTGTAGCCATTTGGAGAATGAACCAGCAGATGGAGGACCCCCCAAACTGTTTGTGTGACTTCCCACTTTCCTTGTAGTTCTGCCTCTCAAATAATTAAAATTGATCTTTAAAAAACAAAACCAAAAATCTTGGTGCAACCAGGACTTGAACTGACTGATGTAAAATGCCAGTGTCCCAGCCAGCAACTGCATAACTTGCTGTACCACAAGCCTGGCCAGAGGGACACAGCAGGTAGCCAAGGACCCACTCAATAACAGGCTTTACATCCTGAGTGCCAAGTCCCAGCCTCTGTCTGCAAGGTCCAACATTCCACAGCAGGGTTGGCAAAGACCTGCCTTGCCTGCTTCCTGGGCACTACTCAGGCAGGCCTGATCCCCAGCAGCTGCCCTCAGACCCTGGTCTCCCTGCCCACTACTCACCAGCCACAGGTGTTTGGAGTCTGGGGCCGTGGAGGCCTCTGGTCTGTCGTCTGGGCCCAGAACACTGAAGCGGAGGAAGCTGGCATCAGGTGGGGACTGCACACTCCCAGGGTGGGAGTCTGGAGGAAGAGCACAGGCCCTTTGAGGAGGGGAGCAAGTGGACAGTGGGGACAGCGGATGGTCCCACAGCAGGTGGGGACAGCAGCCCAGGTAGAGCCATAGCTCTAGGGATATACAGGGGAGAGAGTGGGACTGGGGCCAGCACTTGCCCTGATCTCTACTGTGGGGTCTCCAGGAGTGTTCACTGCCCACTCGGGGCCGGCTGGGCTCCACACCTCCCGCAAGCTGGGGGCCAGAGGCCACCTCACTCCGCAGCTGTGCCAAGTCATGCTCTGAGAAAGAGCGATCCCGCTTCAGTGTCACCTCCCCACATGGGGACTCTTCTTCCTGTGGGCACAGCAGACACAGACCAGCACTGACTTGCCAGGTCCAGGCTGTCCCCCACTTACCACAGCCCTCCCACGTCACACATGAGTCCTGGCAGTGGCTCAGTACCCACACCTTTCCCTAAACCTCTTGCCAAGTCCTGAAGAGATGGACCCAGGAGGAGGAGCCACCTCGCTCAGGGACAGGGATTGTCTGGAGCAGGAGCTGCTCAGTCTGCTCACTACCACATGTGGAGTCACTGTGATGTCACACCTGTTTTTCTGTGGAAAGAGGTGGCCCGAAGCTACAGTCCCAGAGTCGCTTTTCTGAGCTGTCTTGATGGACAGGGGTGCCCGAGTCCCAAGCCTGCTCCTGAGTGGCCATGGCCGTGGGGAGCCCTACGGGTCTTGCCAGACACGGCAGTGACACCCACTCAGCCAGAACTGCTCATCGCCTCTGGGCCCCTGGCCTCATTCATCTTGAGCCTATGGGCTGACCTCAGAGGTGTTCATCTCTTCCATCTCAGCCAGGGTGGGTGCCTTGAGCAGCACACGTGGCCGTGGGCGCTGGGGGCTGCTTCTGACGTCCACATCAGACAGGTTGATGCAGGAGGTGGACTTGATGTCCCCGGAACAGGCACCAAGGAGGCAGGGCAAAGAACCAAACCCTGGGGGGGGGGTGTGGATGGTGAGCAAGGTCAAGGGTGACCTGACTGATGGCTCCCCATCCCTGGACAAAGATAAGTTTCCACCCAGGAGGAGTGGGTGACAGGCAGGGGAGACCCTAGTTGACAGCTGCCCAGGCACTTAGGGAGACAAGCTGGAGGCCAAGCTCCCACACAGCTTCACTCAGAGAATCCCAGAAATTAGGGGTTTCGGAAGCCTGAGCAAACATACTCTCCCCTAAAACGTTGACACTGGTCCTATCAAGACCTCAGAGCAGCAAGTGACCAACTGTAAGAGTAAGATACAAAGATCACTTTGTCCTGACAGGGTGACCCCCTCCAGGAGCCACAGCACTACAGCCTCTGCCTGCAGCAACACTGGGCCCACCATGCCCCTCCTCAACTCACCCCGGGACCCCCAGTGCTGGCCCCCAACTGGGCGCAGCCTCCGCTCCTGCTTGATCTCCTCCAGGATCTTCTCATGTAGGGTCCTCTGCTTCTGAGGCAGGGGGCCAAGCCGTCGGTCTGACACCTGCAGGGACAGCGTGGAGGGTGGGCAGAGAGGCAGTGTGACCTGTGTCACACTGAGAGGCAAGTCCTGTGTGCTCTGAGGTTGGATGGTGGCTGTCCAATGACCCTGCCCAGATGGACACAGGTCCAAGAACTGAGCCTCCAGTGCCAGCGCCCAGCCTTGCAGACTGAGGCAGAGAGCAGCCCCTTGAGGAGGGCACTAACCTGCTTGAGCGGAGGCCGGGAGCGGATGAAGTCCAGAATGAGCTCATGGGCATCCTTCTTCACCCTTGGGGGGATGTCCCCATCCACCTGGCAGGGACAGAGGTGGCCCGCACAGAGATGAACAGGGCTGTACCCTGCAGGGCAGATGCTGGGGTCTGGTGACATGACCATAGCCTGAACTTCAGAGCCAATCTCCCCTCCCCCCTGGGCCCAGGTCTGCCTCCCTCTCATCCAGCAGGGATGGTGGGCAGGGGGTTTGCTTACCATGACCTTGCGCAGTTTGTAGTTCCGGGCGCGGATGTCCTGCATCAGCATCTCGAAGGGTGTGAGCTGGAACTCAGTGGGGAGGGGGTTAAACTCCTGCTCCTGCACCTTCTTGAGCTTTACCCCGTGGCGCAGTTCCCTCATGAGCTGGACCCACAGCCGGGCCTGACCCGAGGGGAGAGAGACGGCCCTCAGCATCACAGGCACCAGCCCTCCAGGTGCCCCCATCTGGAGGAAACCCACTCACCCAGTCAGTGCGTCCCAGGTTGTCGAGCTCCACCTGCGGATTCTCCACCATTGGCTCATCCTCCCCGAGCTTCTGCAGCATCTAGGACCACATACCTGGTTGGTGCCAAGACTGAGCGTGGACATGACTCACCAGTCCAGGTTCACTCCTTCACATCCAAGCTTTGTCAAATCCAGTCATACTACCTCAAATTCAGCCACGCTTGCTCATGTCCAGTCACATCGCATTCAGTTATGGTTCCTCTTATCCAGGCTCCCTCAACTACAGTTGCCTTTCCTCACACCCAGACTTTGTCATGTCCTGGCATCATGTCCCTCACATCTAATGGTTCCTCATGTCTAGGCTCCCCCACATCCAATCACACTTCACATCCAGTCATACTTCACAGTCACACTTCCTCATGTCACACATCCTCACATTTAGTCACACTTCATATCCAGTCACATATCCTCACATCCAGCCACACTTCACAAATAGTCACACTTCACAGTCACACTTCCTCACATCTAGTCACATATTCTCACGTCCAGTCACACTTCATATCCAGTCACATATCCTCACATCCAGCCACACTTCACAAATAGTCACACTTCCTCATGTCTAGTCACATGTCCTCACATCCAGCCACACTTCACAGTCACACTTCACAAATAGTCACACTTCCTCACGTCTAGTCACATGTCCTCACATCCAGCCACACTTCCCCATATTAGTGATACTTCGCAGACTTTCTCACATCTAGTCACACTTCCTCACGTCCAGCCATACTTCCTCAAATTTAGGCTTTGTCACATCTAGTCACTCTACCTCACATCCAGGCTTCCTCATCTCCAGTCACACTATCTACAACCACGTTTTCTCATGAAACAGAACTAGTGGGCATTTGGACCAGGCCTGGGGACTGAGCTACCAGCTCAGAGCCACTGGTAGATGCAACGTTCACCCCACCCAAGATGCTGTCAGGATAAGGATGAACAACGCTTTAAGGTCACATGGTGCCCCTGTGGACCCTTCTACGATCTACCTGGCACCCAGTCAGGCCACAAGTGTAGGTGTGGGTTGAGGTCCTTTCTTTCATCAGGTGCCAGTGATCCTGCTGTCTCAGGGACAACAGGGCAGACCATGTGCCCACCTGTTCTGAACGTACCTGGCCGCTTTCCCGACTGTGATTCCTGGTGCAGTCTGACACCTACCTGCTTCTTTTCAAATCATCTGTTTGTTGGCTTATTTACATACATAAAGACAGAGTGATAGTGAGAAACCTTCCATCTGCTGGCTCATGCCTCAGATGCTCACAACAGGCCAGGGCTGAGCCTGGCCCAAGCCAAATTCCATCTCCCACGTGGCTGGCAGGGACCCAAGCTTCTGAAACGTCACTGCCACTTCCCAGAGTGTGCATTAGCAGGGAGCTGGATGGGAACTTTGATCCTGGATACTCTTAAGTGACGGCTTAACCGTCTGCATCTTGACCGTCCCCTCCCCAACCCTGCCTCCCACTGCTGCGGTTAACATCTAAGACTCCGTGTGCTTAGCGTGGCTCACATGTGCTGTCAAACGGGCCAAATAGACAATTGGGTTAATGAGTGCCTGAGCAGGTGCTCAGTACTGGCCAAAGTCATAGGTGGCAATAACCACACTAGGCCACAGCCACATCTGGACAAAGTCATACTTGGCCACAGTCACACCCTGACACAACCACCCCTGGACAGTCACCTGGGTATAGTCACATCTGGACACAGTCAACGATGGACACAATCACTCCTGGCTGTAGTCACAAGTGGCAACAGTCATTCCAGGAGCCGGAGAGACCCCCTTGCTCTTGCCTGGGCACCTCTTGGGACCTTGAGACCCCTTACCCAGGTGCCTGTTGGGATTCCAGTCCCCCTTACCTCCTTGGCCTCTCGGACACGGGCCAGGAAGGCACGCAGCTCCAAGGTCTCTAGGAAGAGGGCACGGCACACAGCCTGGTAGTGGACCTGGGCGCCTCGAGGGTCCGTGAGCCGGGCTGCGCATAGTCGCATGGCCTGGGCCAGAGTGCGCACAGCCCGGGGGCCACCCTCAGCCTCCTCCTCCTCCTCGGGGCCCCCATAGCCTTCATCAGCTGCCCCACAGCCACCATCCTCACAGTCACTGTTAGCCATGAGGTCGATGAGTCGCTCCAACTGCGGGCTGAGCTCCCGCTCCTCGTTCTCATCCAGACCCCAGTCCAGTGCACGGTAGATGGCGAAGCCCAGTGACTGCACTGTCTACAGGGTGACAAGGAGAGGTGGGTGGTCACCAGGAGTCAGGGGCAGCAGGGGGTAATGGGGATGGTGGACATGGATAAGTTGGGAGAGTTAGAGGTTCAGGATATGGCCTCTGGCAGGTAGAAACAACTGGGTCTTGGGCAGCAGTTGAGTCTGTCACCTGCTACCTGCCAAAGGCTGTGTCCACAGGAAGACCAATGTCACAGACCATATTTGCTGGCTCCTTCCTGACCACGGGTAGGGTGCCAGGCTCTCCCTTCCCTGTGCCCAGGCCGCCCACCCAAGGGTAGACGTCAGGCTCATCCTGAGGCCCTTAGCCACCTGCATACCCTTATCCCTCATGGCTTTCAATCACATGACGCTGTCACCTTGAAAACTGCTTACAGTACCTGGGCTTCTGCGTTGCTGGGCAGTACCACCATTGTTGTAGGATCTGCAAAAGAAAATGGGGTCATGGTGGGCCCGGGGGTATCCCCTCTCAGACACTGTACCCCCTGCTGTGTGCATCTTTATGTTAGGGCCCATTATCTGGGCAAGACTAGACACACTGGAGGAAGTTGGGGTTGCATGGCACTGCCTCCTGGGAAGCTGGGGGAAGATCAGCTGGAGACATGATGACTCAGAGACTAGAAGGTGAACAGGGGCTAGCCCAGGGTGTCAGAACAGACAGGAAGAGGCAGGGCCCTGTAACTCTCAGTGGGACAGACACCATGGGAGATGGGAAGTGTGTGGGGACAGGGAGGGATCTATCTTGATACAGAGCAGGAATTGGGGGGGGGCGGTCAGCCTGGCCAGGTCAGTTCTGACCCCTGTGATGTAGGCTTGGGTATTTTTACTCCTATCTCCTGAGCTCACATGGGCAGGTCACCTGTCTGATATCACTCAGAACAGATGCCGTGCCCCCTCCCAGGGTGTGGTGCCAGAGGCTGCAGGCATGGTCAGGGCAGGCTAGGCCAAGGAGTACAGCCCTGGAACTCCCTTCTAGGTATAACCATGAAAGAGTGTGGACTGCCTGTGGGTGCAGGAGAATTCACCTGCCTCAGGGAGGCCACAGACCCCTGGACCCTGAGCTCACGCATGTTGAAGGGGAAAGAGCAATCAGTCAGACCTGGAGGGGATCCTGCCTGCCCACGCCTGAGATCAGAAAGATGGGCCTAGGAGGCCCACAGACTGGCCACAGCTGCGGAAAGACTACCTGCAGCTGCTCTTGCCTGATGAGCCAGCTTTACCATCAGGAGCTGTGCCTGTACCAGCCTGGTCTTCAGAGACCAGCAAGAACCGAGAGGCGGAAATGGGCATGGAGCCACAGCTGTAGGAACTGTGTTTGCTCAGCAAACAAGAGGGTGTTCAGGGTCAAAGGGAGCAGGCGTTGCCTCCTATACCCACTTCCTAGATGGAAGATACCTCCATGTCTCTGTCTCCCCAACTCTGCCTTCTCAACAAGTAACGCTTGTTGTAGTCATCCTGGTGAGAACAGAAAGCCTAGTATGCCCAGACTCTCCCTGAGACTTCACACTTATTCACAGCTTGCACGCAGGGACAGGTGCCTGGCTTAGAAGTTCAGCATCAGAAAGTAAGACAAAGGTCAGCTTCCATAGCACAGCAGGTACAGCCACCGCCTGCAACCATCTCCCATAGGCGCCACTTCCTGTCACAACGTTCCATTCCCTTACAGCTACTGCTAATGCTCCCAGGATAGCAGCAGAGGGGCCCTATACCCACATGGGAGGCTGAGTTCTGGACGGCATGCCTGGGGTAGTAGACCAGCAGAGGCATGCATGCTCTCTCCTCCCCACCCCCATGTACTCTTCTTGCTGCATCTTTCAAGTCAATAAACCAACAAGCACGAAGTTGGCGGTGAGAGGCGCACATCCCTCTGATGGTGGTTCCAGAAGGAAAACGAGGCGCCCCCACCCCTCCCTGGGACATCGCTCAAGACCTAGAGCAATGCTGTGCTGGCCACGGAAGCTGCCTGGTTCCCAGCTCAACTCCGCCGGGAAGGGGAGCCAGGTAAGGGTGTTCTACTTGGTCACGCGCCGGGGAACACCTTTATGGGCTCTTGGTGGACAGGGGCCAAGGTGTGCGGACAGGGATGGACGGCGGCTCCACCCCTTCCAGGGTGCTGCTGGGCCTGCACTCCAGCCCAGTGGCGTTGACCCCTGTCCACGGACTCCCACCGAACCCTAAAGGCAGACACGGCCACTGCTCTGGGAAGAAAGTGCGGCAGAGCAAGCCGCCATCCGGGGTGGACTTCCCGGGCCCCTTCCAAGAGAGAAAGTCGCCCCGCGGCGCTTGCGCACATCCCCGCAAGCCCGAGCCCGGAATCCCCTGGACCTTTCCGCGTCGGGGCCGCGCCCCGCACCGCCGACCCGGCCCCGCACTAGGACCTGGCGGGTCCTTGCCCAGGAGGATGCGCCGAGCGTCCGCAGCCGCCGGACCTTCAGAAGGTCCCCAGGCGGTGTCCCGACCGCGCCTCCCGCCCCGGGCCCCGCACCCCGCCTCACCCGCGGCTCCGGGCACTCGCCGCGCGCCCACCGAGCCGTCCCTGCGCAGCAGGACATCGTCCGTGTCACGGATGCGGGCGCCCGGCGCGTCCTGCAGCCCGCGGCAGCCTTGGAAACACACGGCCCACGCCTGCTCCTCGTTGATGGGCTGCTCGTACACCTGCAGCACCTCCCGCAGCGACAGCTCCGAGGGCTCGGGCCGCGCCGGGGTAGCAGCGCCGCCGCCGCAGCCGCCGGCCCCGGCCATGGCCGCCCCATGCTCGCCGCGGGCGCGCCCGGCCGTTCCCATGACAGCGCGCGGGGCGGGTCCCGCACGCGGCCGGCCGCAGGGGCGGGCCGGCGGGAGCGCGCGCGCAGGGTGGAGGCGCTCCCGGGCCTGGACGCCGCAATGACCGCGCCAGTGCCGGCAGGGCAAGTGCCGGGGACGCAGGAGGGGCCTCGCACCCACGAGCTCCCCGACCGCGGCCGGTGACCTGGGGGCGGCTCCCTGGGTGGGCAGGACATGGGCGCTCACTGAGCCTGTGCACTGCACCCCGAAGGCCAGTTTGTTGGGGTCCCCGGAACTCTCCTACCCCTCCCCCGGCCGGGTCAGAGTCACGGGACAGGGAGATGCCCTGGAGGCCTAAACGCTGGACCCGACCAGGAGAGGAGCAAAAATGCAGGTGCCTAGTTTTGCTAGGATGGGAAAGGAGGGGCCCCGTAGTCCCGAGACCCTATGCGGACTGTCTCAAGCCAAGAGGTTTTAAAATTATTATTTTTAACGTTTGCTTATTTGAAAGGTAGCAGGGGGTCTTCCACCCCTGGGTTCACGTCCCAGAGGAGCCAGGACTCTGTGAGCATGCCCTTGCTCTCTGCCCGTGTTCTGTGAGGTCTGCTCCCCAGGGCTGGAGCAGGAGTGGAGCAGCAGGGCGAGGACTGTCCTACCCTCCTGGACGGGGAGTCAGGGATACCATTGTCCCTGCCCGGCTGGTTCTCTGCGTCCTCCCCACCCCGCCCCCATGTGGGAGAGAGGCTGGAGGCCAGGGACACCCTGGTGCTTTGGGGGAGGAACCCTAAAAGTAGGGAGGGATGCAAGGCTGGGAAACCATACAGGGAACCCTGACTTCCCCTAGGAAAGAACTGGAAATGATAGTGGGGTCCCTACCTGAGACATGGCAGATGTGTGAGGCCAGGGTCGCCCTCTGCTGGCCTGACCCACGCCTGAGCTGACCACACCTGGGGAACCTCTCATGGAGGAGGTCTCGCCCCCATCGCTTTCCTCCGAGGCACCCCAGCAGGTCACCATTTGTGTGTGTGGTAACCAGCCACAGAGGTTTACCATAGTGTGCCTGGGAAAGGGGGCAGCTCAGCCGCTGCCTGCTCTCCCAGGGGCTCACATTTCATTTGCTCACAACACGGTAGTGGGCTCTCTTCAAAGGCACCCAGAGCCTTGTGGGGCCTCAAAATCATGCAACCTAACTAGCTTGTGGCCCTGCGACCCTGTGTGGTTCCCAGGGGACCTGTCATAAGGTACATGTGGTCCTGCCTGCCCTTCACCCTTGCAAGAGCAAAGGTCATTCCCAGCAGTGACCCCAGTGGGGAAGAGGGAGGGAAGGACACTAACCTCTGGCTATGACCCCTCCTGCAGGTTAGATGGATCCTGGAAGGGGCAGGGTGCTCTGTGGACTAGGCCACCACGGGAATCGACTAGAAATGGACCTTCAAGGGCCTCAGTGTCCCACCCCGCCACATACACACCATGAGGCAAGAACTCTGGAGGGGCTTCTAGGCCATTTCTAATCCTGGCTCCAGGGACTTTGGCCTGACCCCAAATGCCATCCCTTGTCCCTAGGGTTGCGTGTGTGTGAGTGTGCCGCATGTGGTGACTCAGCAGGTGGTGCTGGACGGAGCTGTCACCTCTCAGGCTATCGTGTGGGCAGTCACACTCCCCAAACGCTCACCTGTGCCATGAGCTGTTTGTCCACGCCCATTTACTGAGGGCTGTACACAGACGCCAGCCTGGGGAAAGGCAGGGAGGAGCCCAGCTGGGCATCTGCCTTCGTTCTGGGGTGAGCCTAGAGGGACTGGGAACAGGTGGACACTACGCTGCCTGTCTGTGCTGCTCTCGGGCAAAGGGGCTGTTTGCACCACATGCTCAGAGCAAGGGGATGGGGTCTCTGAGCATCTTAGCAGATGTACAGGCTACAGCATCCCACCTCCAGGATCTTGTAAGTCAGCAGGTGAGCTGGCTCCAAATGCCAGGTCTGTGTGGGCTGTGACCACACATGGTGGGCAAGGTACGAAACAGGCTTAAGACTCAAGGAAGTAGCTCACCGGGGCCTTGCGTGGCCACCCCAGCAGCAGCAAGGGTACAGAGAAACAGGCCAGCTCCTCCCATGGGATCCTGTGCAGTGTGAGCTGGGCTCAGGTTACTGCAGAGGCCCTCAAAGCTGCCTTTGTCAGCTCCCACCGCCAGGAGGAACAGTGAAACCCAAGAGAAGGCAGCTCTGTGCACCAGGGTTATTTTCGGACACAGTACAGACCTTGTGTCCCGGGGGGCCAATTAGACGCTGACACGCAGCCTGGCTGGGTGAGTGTTTGTGGGGGTCCTGCCAGACCACAGCAAGACAGGCACAGCCATACTGAAGTTCAGGGAACAGTCCTATGTGTTGGAGGTGGGGGTGCCTGGAGGTCCTGGGTAGTTAGGGCTGTTGATAAGTTCTTTGTGGGTGACTTGGCAGATGCAGGGGTGAAGCTGCCATTTGAGGTGCTTGCATCCTGGATCAGGGTGCTGGGCTCTGAGCCCAGTGTTGCTTCCTGCTCACCTGTACCCTAGGAAGCTGTGCCAACAGTACCCACAGGGGACCCACATGCAGTTCCTGACCCCTATTCCTCAAATAGCCACTCACAGAAAGGGCTGCTAAACAGAATATGCAACCAAGAGAGCTGGCTAAGCAAGTGGACATAGCCCTCCTGTCCTCTGTGGATGTGGGTGTGTGAGGGTGCAGCCCCTGTCCTCTGTGGGTGTGTGAGGGTGCAGCCCTCCTGTCCTCTGTGGATGTGGGTGTGTGAGGGTGCAGGCCCCCGTCCTCTGTGGATGTGGGTGTGTGAGGGTGCAGCCCTCCTGTCCTCTGTGGATGTGGGTGTGTGAGGGTGCAGCCCCCCGTCCTCTGTGGATGTGGGTGTGTGAGGGTGCAGCCCCTATCCTCTGTGGATGTGGGTGTGTGAGGATGCAGCCCCCCGTCCTCTGTGGATGTGTGAGGGTGCAGCCCCCTGTCCTCTGTGGGTGTGTGAGGGTGCAGCCCCCCCGTCCTCTGTGGATGTGGGTGTGTGAGGATGCAGCCCCCGTCTTCTGTGGGTATGTGAGGGTGCAGCCCCCCCGTCCTCTGTGGATGTGGGTGTGTGAGGGTGCAGCCCCTGTCCTCTGTGGGTGTGTGAGGGTGCAGCCCCCCCCCCGTCCTCTGTGGATGTGGATGTGTGAGGGTGCAGCCCCCTGTCCTCTGTGGGTGTGTGAGGGTGCAGCCCCCCCCGTCCTCTGTGGATGTGGATGTGTGAGGGTGCAGCCCCCGGTCCTCTGTGGATGTGTGAGGGTGCAGCCCCCGTCCTCTGTGGATGTGGTATATAGGTATGTACCCAAAAAACACACTGAATATCAGATGTCATTCAAAAAAGTCACCTAGGTGCCCATGCAGTAGCCTAGTGGTTAATGTCCTCACCTTGCATGTGCAGGGATCCCATACAGGTACTGGTTCTTTTTTTTTTTTTTTTTACTGGTATTTTCAGATAGTGAAGTATATACATTTTGGATGAGTGGCTTCCTTGTGTTTTTATCACCTGTGACTTTTTTTTAATATTTATTTTTTATTGAAAAGGAAGATATACAGAGTGGAGGAGAGACAGAGAGGAAGATCTTCCCTCCAATGATTCATTCCCCAAGTGACCGCAACGGCCGGAGCTGATCCAATCCAAGCCAGGAGCTTCTTCTGGGTCTCTCACATGGGTGCAGGGTCCCAGGACCATATGGGATCCTGGTGCGTTCAAGGTGAGGACTTCATCCACTATGCTATTGTGCTGGGCCCATCTCCTATGTCTTGATAGGGAGCTGAATGGGCGCTAGTTCTAATCCCGCCAGCCCCGCTTCCCATCCAGCTCCCTGTTTGTGGCCTGGGAAAGCAGTAGAGGACGGCCCATGGTCTTGGGACGCTGCACTCACATGGGAGACCTGGAAGAGACTCCAGGCTCCTGGCTGTGGATTGGCACAGCTCCAGCTGTTGCAGCTACTTGGGGAATGATGCATCGGACAGAAGATCTTCCTCTCTGTATATCTAACTTTGCAATACAAATAAAATAAATTTTTCTTTAAGTCAGCCAGAAGAATCCCAGGACCCACCTGCACAAACCAATGTGTTTGGATGCCTTTTGGCAAAATTCTACTGGGCAGTGCCCTCCTGTTCAAGGCCTGTTGTCCTGCTCTACCCAGCGACTTGTCCATCTGTCCTCTGTAAACAGCCGCCACAGTGCAACGGAGGAGATCTTCCCATCTAGGTCTGGGCCAGGTGGAAGCCAGGAGCTCCGCCGGGTCCTGCTGCTTTCCAGGGTCTGGACACCAGAGAGCCGGACAGGAAGGTGGCCAGCTGCGATGCTCCTGTGTGATACGGCTGCCGTGGCAGAGGTTCAACTCGCAGCGCCGCAACCGGCTGATCCCAGATAACGCTGTGAACACACGTGGCTGATCGGCAGCCCCAAATCGACTTTTCCCGTTTTGTCCCGCGCTCTCGCGGCAGCCGCCACCCCCAACATGGCGCCGCCGCCCCCAACATGGCGCCGCCCCGCGGGGGTGTGGCCGGCCGCCAGCCAATGGGAACGCGCGCGGGCGCAGCAAACTGGAAGGCAGCGCGGGCCGCGGCGGTCGTGATGGAGTGTCCGGCGCGGGCGGCCGGGCCCGAGTCCCGCGGTCGTGGGCGCCGCCGCAGGTCCTGGGCCGAGCTGCTGGGTGAGTGTGCGGCCCCCGGGGCCCCGCGGGGGACCGGGCGTCCTGGAGCCCCGCCGGGCGCGGCAGCTCATGGCGCCCGTCTCGTCCCGCAGCGGGCAGGGCCGGGAGGCAGAGGCGCAGCCCGGGACGCGAGCAGAAGAAGCTGCAGGACGCGGCCGTGCGGCTCCTGAGCAGCCGCCGGGATGTGGGCGGCCTCCTGCTGGAGATCGGCGGCCCCGGGCCTGTGTTCCTGGGGGAGGACGGTCCGGCCGGCGGCCCCGAGCCCCGCGCCCGCGCGTGGGGCGCCCTCGTCGGTG